TACCATGTGAAGTACCACATGAAGAACCCCTCTTACGGAAATCAAGAATAGCATCTGTAAAGTTTACCCTTCTGTGTTCTATCTTTTTCCTAGAAGAGGAATAGTACGGATAGTACGGAACGCGCAGACGCGACTTTCCTCGCTCAAATCTCTCGCGCAATCCTCTTAGTTATCATCGAGCTCTCTTGTCACTTCAATCATGCTAGGAAATTTTCCATAATGGAAAGAACAAGTTCTATCGCAACAGTCCACGATCACGAGAAAGATATGCAGTTGAGCATTCAGCTAAATCGTTGGATACTGAAGCCGATCGGTGTCTGGCCGAAATTAACTGAAATTTCACGTATGGAGAGATACGCGTACGGACTAGTAAATGTAATTTGCACTAGTCTGATAGGCTTCCTCTTCGTACCCTCCACAATCTTCATGTTACTTGAAATGGATGATGTATATCTTATTTTAAAACTTTCCGGTCCACTAAGTTTTTGCTTAATGGCCGTTGTTAAATACTCCTCGCTAATTTTCCGCGAGAATGACATCCGCAGTGGTATCAGGCATATCGAAAGCGACTGGATAAATACTCGACATTCTAATGATCGGATCATTATGGTCAGGAACGCCAAGTTCGGTCGGCGTCTCGTGTCGATCTGCGCATTCTTTATGTATGGCGGTGCCGTGTTTTATTATCTTGCTCTGCCTTTTAGTAAAGGCAAGATTACGGAGAGTGATGGAAACCTGACATATCGGCCATTGGTGTATCCAGTTGCCAGTGTGATTCTCGACGCGCGACATAGTCCCATCAGTGAGATTCTCTTTTGGATTCAGTGCCTGTCGGGTTTCATAGCACACTCCATTACTGCCGGTGCATGCAGTTTAGCAGCCGTATTCGCGATGCATGCCTATGGCCGTCTGGAAGTCTTAATGCAATGGATCGAGCATCTAGTGGATGGTCGGGAAGATTTCTGCGATAACGTAGATGAGAGATTGGCAATGATTGTTCAGCAGCACATTCGAATCTTACAGTAAGTTACTTTCTGACATGGATTGTCTGTGTTTCTTAAAATTCTTATTAAAATATCAGTAAAAATGAATTAAAACACACTTTACACATATGTAAAGCGCTTTAATTAATTTCTAATTATTTACGAACAAGTAACAAAATCGCGTCTCTCATGTGTTTGCCCAGTCGACACTATTTAAAGGTAATATAATATTAATGTTATAATTTTAATCTCAATAATATAAATGTAATATAATATAACATAAACGATTATTATTATTATTAGGCGTTAGGAACTCGAAAGCTCATTGCCGCAAATACCAAATCCCGCCACTGTTCCCGTCCCTGAGCAAGATCCCTCCATTTGTGACCCTCGTACCCCATTTTGTTAAGGTCCATTCTAATATTATCTTCCCATCTACGTCTTGGTCTACCCAATGGTCTTTTCCCATCCGGTTTACCAATTAGTACTTTATATACAATTCGATTCTCATCCATACGCGCCGCGTGACCTGCCCATCTTAATCGACGCGATTTTATGACATTAATAATATCCGGACTATTATATAATTGATGTAATTCTGCGTTGTGTAATTTTCTCCATTCGCCCGTTTCCTCATCGCGTTTTGCCCCGATGATTTTTCGAAGTACTTTATTTTCGAAAGCCCTAAATCTTTTCTCGTCTTGTACAACATAAATATGATTTGATATGATGCACGATAGAGTGCAAAATTATAATATTGATGTTATGTTACTTCTGATATCGACTGGGTATATTTATGTAATAATGTATACATTATTTTTTCCAGTTTTATATCGCTAACGGACAAAGTATTGCGTGAAATATCTATCGTGGAAATTGTAGGGTGTACGTTAAATATGTGTTTTCTTGGATATTATTCTCTTACGGTATGCATATTGTACAAAAAGTACGTACCAAAGTGCATTACTATGTCAAAGATCAACGTTTACGATTTACAATGTACTCGATGCGTACAGTTTATATGTCGAATATAGCAATTTTCACGTTCTAGGAATGGGAGACAAAAGAGACTACAAGTTATATAACATACATTGTCCTGCTTATATCTCTTACGTTCAATATTTTTATATTTTGTTATATCGGTGAACTTGTTGCCGAAAAGGTAAAGTCTTCACAATCGAAGCATTTGCCTACGCACATATGATAAATTTAATAATAAACTTTAGTAAAGTGCACTTTTACGGTTTATTTTTATAATTGGTTATGCACTATACGGTTTATATTAAATAATGAAATTTGTATAATTAAGAATTTATTTAGAATTAATTCTTTTTGTGTATTTATATCATATAAAAAAAAATAGAAAAATAATCTTAAAAATAATTTGAAAAATAATCTGTAAACAGTGCAAGAAAATCGGGGAAGTATCATATATGATCGATTGGCATCGTCTATCAGAAAGAAAGGGTATTGCCCTCGTATTGATAATCGCTATGTCCAATTCATCGATTAAACTTACCGCTGGAAATCTCTTCGAATTGTCTCTCAGTACTTTTGGTGATGTGAGTAACGCAATGTCAATATCTATCAGTATTTATCGAGAAATATGATTTATATATTATTTATCCAATTAATAGGTGGTTAAGACATCTGTTGCTTATTTAAACATGCTACGTACATTAACTGCATAAAGATTGTCTAAAATGTAAAAATTATTAACATGATTATCGATTGCAAATAAAAAGTCAATTATTTGATGCCAGTTATTTGATACATTTTGAAAAAAAAAAGAAAATAAATGCAATTTTAAAAATAGAAAAAATTAATTAAAATTTACTAAATATTTATTGAATAGGAGAATAAAATATTTTTTGCATATTTTCTACGAAAATATTTCTTAACATTTCATACATTATTATACGATATAAAATTGTGCAATAAGAAATACTCAAAATAAAATTGCAAAAAATTATACTTATTAATTGGTATAACATCTTTCATGAATTACAACAGCAATAAATTTCAAACATATTAAATTATCGCATTTTAATAATGCTTCAATATGTCAAAATAGGTATATAATATTGTATTATTGTATTTATTATCTAGTATTATAAGATGTACATGAAATTTATGATAGTTTGAAATGACAAAAAATAAAAATAAACATAAATGCATATTTCTTTTTATTGTAAAGAACAATTAAAAAGATTTTTTTTTAATTATCTAATATTAAATGAGCACCTTTAGTTGTATGAAGGATATTATGTAGGTATTCCACTTCACATCATGTTTGCTGAAATATGTCATCAATGATGTCATGACACTAATGTGACGGCTACAGTTTAGTTGCGCAAAACGTTTACGACCAATATCTTGATTAAGTAAATTGTTTTGGGTAACTTTCAGAAGAAATCCAAAGGAATGCTATCAAGAACATCATCGGGAAACGGGTTTTAGGGAAATTTCTTTCAATGATCTAAAAACCACTATAAGTGTTCATGTGGAAGTTTGGAAATTTTTGCAAATAATTTTTTAATTTTAGTCGTTCTTTACATTAAAAATATCTAGAAATATGTTACTGCTCGTTTTTATTTTTTATCATTTCAAAATACTGGAAGTTCATCCTGTATTTCAAGATTGAATGTGTATATCTTTTCATATATGTATAGTATTATCAGGTACAGATTTTATTACTTGATATATTTATAAATAATAGATATTTCAATATAAAACAACAAAACAAAATATTTTTAAAATGTCTTCATAATATATTTTACAACAATTATATATATAAATATCTATATGTACATGTATATTTAAACGTATTAAATAAAATAAAAATACGTTTAAATATATTACTTAAATTTTAAATAATAATATAAATAATAATATATTTGAACGTAATTCTATCTTATTTAATATTTTACATTAAATAATTTTTCTAATTGTTTATCATAAGATAATAAGATAAAGTATTTTCTTTAGTTAAAAATATATTGCAATAATATTTGTATTTCTATAAAATTGTATTTCTATATATACTCATGTATAAGCATTATAGGTAAAATCGTATTCATACACACATATAATATCTCATACAAGAAAAAAGCGCTTGCGATCTGCTCCGATAAATTGCGGAAAAAATCTCCGCAAAGTATGTAAATCTTTCTGTTTATAATTCAAGAACAGACAGGTGTAGTATCACATGAGCAAACTTTGATTCCCCTTTGCGGAAATTGAGAATTGTGTCTAGAAAGTTTACCCTTCACTTGTA